GAATCCAGTATTCCTGAAGCCTAATTATTGTTTATTTTATGAATTTAATAAAGAACTCTGTCCAAACGGTCAGTGTACATTTGTGTCCATTCGTTTTTCCTTTTTTAACCCGTATTGCAAAACGAAAAATGAACGGTGATTTTTTTATTTAAAATGCAAAGTTAACCAGCAATTTTTTTTAAAATTTGAACTGTACACAAATGCTGTGCAAAAATAATAATATATCGACTAAATTTCAGATGTTTCTTTGACTTTTTGCCCCTTTATTAAACATTTAAAATATTCACAATTTAATACGAAAAAAATGTAGATTTTAATGGTTTTCTAAGGGCAAATTAGAACCTGGAAATTATATTTTTCCCGCAGTGCTGAATGAGAAGAGCCATATTTATGTCTCTGGAACCACAAGGTGATTTAGGTGAGTTATAGGCTAATGATAATAAATCTGTCTGAAAAAATAACGAGGCATTTTAATTGTTTATTAATAAACTATTGTTTTCTAAATCAGTGTCGGCTAAAAACATATATTTCCATCTCCGCTGAGGCGCGCCGCGCGAATGCACCTTTAGAGAGAAATACACCTTTCATAAGGATTACATCATCAGAATGTATTAGCTTTCGATTCGAATTTGTTCGTTTTAAAGTGGACACTTCAAGCTTTAGCCTAGGCTATACTTTGTTTCAGTTCTACCAGAAAGACTCGGGAGAATAAATACTGTAACAATAAATACATTTATTGATAGCCCAGCAAGCAATAAAGTTCTTTGGCGTAGGCCCCGTCCATAGCTCGCAATCCGAGGGTCCGGACTCTGCATTTCCTGCCTGAAGACGAAGGCAGGGGCGCAGCCGACCCCCTGTGAGGTATAGGAAGGGACCATCCTGGTGGTGGTGGTGGGGAGGATGGAGGGGAAGGGACCATCCTGGTGGTGGTGGGGAGGATGGAGGTGAATGAAAGCGTCAGCATCTGCGAACTCAAACATGTGTAAGTACTGGTCTTTTATACCGCAAGTATTAGACACGATTGGATAGATGAGAAGGTAATAAGTGACGTAGCAATTGAGTCTTCCTGGCAGAACTTAACGCTAAAGCTTCCATTTCTCGCGCTCCAGTTCACGGAGATCATGAAAGCGCGCATTATTGTTTTATTTTATTTTACAAAAGCACAACGTTTTCTTGTTATTGTGAGTTTACACAAATAAAATCATAGTGGCGAATAATGTATTATTATTTTCTTTATGACCAGAAATTATAGAGTAGGCCTATTTTAAGTTGTTTGTTGATAGGAAAAAGCAAGTGTTCGCGGCCGCGCCTCCGTGCCATGCGCGCTCAGCAAACACTTGGATATGCGTCAAAATCTTGTGTTTATTTGTGATAATCTTAGCCCTGTATTATTATTGTCTAACCATTATGAATGACATTTGACGAATTGCTTTGTTCCTTTTTTTGGATAAAAGCGTCTTCTAAATATGTAGCCTAATAACTGTTATAATAATGATGATATTTATTAGCCTATTATTTGCGTATATCACGGACCCCAAACACACCGCGTCTTCAGGTGACTGTAAATGCGCAAAAACTGTTTCCATTGCAGTTTTGCGAAATATTCCTTTTTCGAATTGCCTGAAAAACCTCCTCATGCGAGCGTAAAAACTTTTTTGTGATAAAGGTGCAGCAACGTGGTCAGCTCGGCCCAAAACAATAGAAAATCACACCGGCCCTTCTGGCATGTGCCAGAATTGCCAGATGGCCAATCCGGGCCTGGTTTAGGTTATAAAATAAACCCGAAAATAACCTGCAGGGACCATTCACAGAAAACATCTTTGTTTGACCGGTTGTAAACACGTGCGGCAAACATGTCTAGAATTTTGCTTAAATAATCTCTGATGATGACGTTCGCTATAGGTTATAAAAATAAACCCCCAAAATATTATATTTTAGTGTTATATATTTTTTTTTGTAAATTGTTCAGTATTATATTGAGAGAGCACTTGTTAAACTGTTTACTTTTGTTAGGAAGAAAATACTCAGGCTACAGTATGTCTACTTGTTGTGAAGTTGTGTAACAGTTTTATCATTTTAATATGCACAAAGAGTATTTATATTTTTTATTATTATTTATTCATGTTTGGTACATTTCTTAAGAAGCATAATTTATTTTTAAAATTATTTGTTGGCCAGTTGGGGTCTGTGCGATATTAAGTGAACCATCTATAATGTTTTATTGTTCTAATATAGTAATGCTAATATTTAGAATAATATATTGAATTTAATAGGCGTCTCTCACATTGTCCCACAGCAACATTAAAATAGAATAAATTATTATTATAAAACATTGAACACTAATCTACTCTATTAAGTGTCCATTTCATTAATTTAACATATTTAATACTGGGGGCCTCCAAATTATTTGACATAGGCCTATTTGATTTTTTTTTTTTTTAAGTAACGCAATAGTTACTTTCTCTGGTAATTAGTTACTTTTATAATGATGTAACTCAGTTACTAACTCAGTTACTATTTGTGAGAAGTAACTAGTAACTATAACTAATTACTTTTTTTAAGTAACATGCTCAACACTGACACTTAGGGTACATGGCATGTATAATTCATAATCCCACGTTTATACTGAACAACGCGTTATGGTTATTGTGTTATTGAGTTACAAACGGTGGTGGACGCACAGAACAGAGAGGCGGGGTGAGCAAAGCTCATTATCATTTAAAGTCATATGCACTGAAACGGCGTGCTGAAAACAGAGCTGTTTTTGACCAGGTAAAATAAGTGTTTTCTTACAATACTAATGAGAATTTGTAATTAAAGTATATTACAAACTTTTAATTTAGACCCTAAAGAATCATACTACCTTGTACAAAAATGGCATTATATGACCCCTTTAACATCGAGGCTATTGATGTGCAGTTTTACACTAGAATAAAGATGTGTGTGAGTGACAGATGCAAGGTAGGAGGTAAAGAGATCATGAGAAACGAAGGACACAGGCATGAGATTTTCCGCTGTCTCCTGAAGCAGCTTGAGACGGCAGAACCTTTAAACACACATGTGAATGTTTGCACAAGAGCTTCAATTGACCTCGTCAACGTCCAACGGGTCGTACTATCAGAACGGGGCCATCAGCGGTCCACACACACACACACACACAGCTGAGATCCGATACGCGGACGACCAGCTGCGCTCTGACAGGATGCAGAGCCGATCCAGATGTGCATGAAGCGATCGACATGACAACTGTGCTTTTCACAAAGCACTTGTTTTATTTTCCTCCCGATCCTCCTCGCGGTCACACGGGATGGGCTCGGATAACTATCCGCTTCCAGCACTTGTCCAAATATGGGTCCTGCCCAACTAATGGAAACACAAACGTGCCTCCAGATCAGATACATATGTGAGACGGACAAGCGTGTGATCGCGCACATCTGTGTAAAAGCTCAGGCGTACTGTGTGCACTGCTTTGCTCCCAAAAATGCCAATAATCCCAACGATAATAAACTGAGTGTTTGTGTTCAAATGAACATGTGTGTTTGCTCAAGTGTTAATGATGGACAGTGAATGTGACCCCGTTGCTTCCAGCCCGTCCCGTGACCCCCTCCGCCCCAGCGTGTCGTACATTGACTGGGAGAGGAGCCCTGGCAGGGCCGCAAGATCCGGCCCCCACTCATCTGAGGCCAAGGACAATGTTTGAACACCTGCCCACGGCTCTCAGGAGCGAGGGGAGGGCTTGTTATTCCCTGCGAAGTCTCTCAGTTGGGCAGTGCGGACTGGACAGGGCTAGTTTACTCTCGAACAAACCGTTCGTACGCGCAAAACTCGTCCCCTCACACACACCGCTGCGTGTCCGTCATGCGGACAGACGTCGAGCCACGGTTGCTGACTGAGGGGATTTGAGTGCATGTTAAAAATGAACAATATAATGTGGAAATATTGTGCAAAACATCAGCCAATCAGATTCCTCCATCTGGTGTGATTGTTCATGCGTCGTTTATATCTGTCTCCGGGGTCCAAGATTAACACTCGCCAATTGGCAGTGTAATGTTATATGGTTACAATTTTAAGAATGATGACCATCGGCGATGGAAGAGGAGTCAAATAAAAGCCTACTTTTTTTTTTTTACTGTTGGAAAATTAACCACAAGAAGTAATTTTATCAGTAAGAAATTGCAATAAGCCATTGCAATAAGGACATTTTAATAATATAATATAAGGTTACACTTTATTTTAAGGTGTCAACAGTGTAGTACTGAGTATTAGTAAGTAAAAACAATTACATGATCAACAAGTTATGATAACGTGTTTTTACATAGCTTGTTTTTACAACATCAAAATATGAATAGTTTATTGAATACAATAAACAAATTTTTTAAGTCAGTTTAATATAATGACTTAAACATCCAAGTTGATTGTACTTAAAAATTGAAGGCAGCATGAATATTGAATTAATGGAATTTATCGGTTGATTTCATTGAATTTGTGATCAATGAGATTACGTTTTAAAACGCAATTACGTTTAGGATTGGGGATAGGGTTAAGGGATATAACCATATATGGTTCATGAAAACATACATTTTTATGTATAAAGCCAATTGATACACATTTATGCTTAATATATTTGTAAACATGTTAGGAGCTATTAATGTCAAATAAAGGTAGGCTGAACCATTATCAACTCTTTTACTACTGGTTTAAAATACTGTACATCAGTTAGGTATGGTCAACAAGTTGTTATCAAAGGAATACAAATAAAAACAGTTTGTTAATAACACTGACGATGAATGAATGACTCACTTTTTGTACATGGCATATGAATGCATTAGCAATGCAGAGTTTATAAACTATGAATTAACCAAAAACTAATAGATGGAAGTGTTTTGTTACTGTATACGTATTAAGTGAAAAATGACACTCCCTGTCTTTATGAACATGTGTGCAAGTGTGTGTTAGTGAATGTTTGCATAGGTGTGTGTGTGTGTATCTGTAGATCGTACCTTCTTTTTGTCCCTCATGGAGCCTTTCCCTCTCACCATGATCTTGCATCCGGTCTCGGCCTCCAGCTGCTTGGCCGTGAGCCCCCGCGGGCCCAAGATCCGGCCCACAAAATTAAACTGCAACACACAAACACACACACATCTCACTCACTGCATCTGTGTCCGGATGGAGCCATATCCCATACATACTTTGGCATTCGACAAGTCACTGTTTCCATCAACAACACTACAGTGTAAAATAACAGATTATTTTGAAGCATTATTATGCGGGAGCATTACTCATCATATTCTGAAGTTGGTGCATTGTTAATAATGTAATTCCTAATAAAGACACGGCACATATCACTCCGACACTGGCTCATGGTTGCTTATCACACACGTAACAATTGCAATTACCATTTTTTAAGCTCTTAATGGTCTCGCACCACAATATTTAGTTGCCCTCCAGAGACAGTTTATTAATGGTTGTTAACAGTTCTTCATTGGGCGTTCAATCTTTTAATGTCTCGGCCCGTAGATACCGTAAATCCCTCCGTCAGCATCTCATTTGAGCTCATCCACATTTAAAACGCGAACACACATCTGTTTACTCAGGGTAATTTGAATGTTTATGTATTGTACTCTGTGTTGGGTAAGTTACTGTAAAAAAATTACTGTAAATACTTTTCTTAAAAGTATTGCATTACTTATTATTATTATTATTATTAACCTGTTAATGCATGCGATTAACTCAAAACTCTTAATGCGTTCACATAATTTAACACAACTAAATTACTGAAGCACATGAAATTGCGTTATTAACGTAACGTTATATCTACAATTGCGCAAGATCCTGTAACCCTGGTTGGTGGAAATTTCTATTCTAACCCTTTAACCCGATTTCGCTTCTCTGTTTGCGATCAGATCATTTTAAGCTGTGAAAATGTTCAGTCCAATGCTCCAGTAAGCAAATTTATTCAAACAATCAGTCCAAAACAGCGCTAATGCAAAGTAAAGCCGGCTGATTACATCCGAGAGTGCAGGGAGAATAGAGACTCACGCTGCGTTTTCAGTGAACGATTGATTCCAGTGTTTATTTCACTTTAAAACACGAGCTCTGTCATTTTCTGTGATTGTTTCTGAAGAGTTTCACACAAATGTGAGTTCGTGTGTTCCTGTTCCGTGTCTCAACTAGACTAGTCTAAAACGTAAACAAGCTCTTTGCTGTTGCACTGTACACAAACTATACATTCTGAAAAGCTTTTTTTTCTGTAATGTTTTTCATGGGTGCTTTGGTGTGCATAAATTTATGAATAATATGGACTCATTGTATTATTTGGTGTCCTTTTGGAGTCTCCAAGTGTCCTTTTTTTTGGAAAGACGCCTACATTTTCCTTGAAAAAAAAAAGCTTGCAGAAAACACAATTTTGTGAGAATCAATCTAATGGTTTACTTTGCTGGATATAGCAAATGATGACAAAATGAATGTGTTAAACAAGATAAATGGTGTATGCTTAATTTGACATGACAAGTGTACAAAAAATCATGATCTATTGACAATATATATATATATATTATATTTTATATAGCATTTACTTTTGCCATTGATATGACTGGGAAAAAGTGTTCCAGTCAACCTGAATATATATATATATAGCAATTTCACACGAGTAGGAGTGTGATATGGCTCTATATCTGCACGGCTGTGATTCGGCCTTAGACAATTTCCTTTACATTCAATGTTTTCCATGCTGATTTTGGTGTTTTTTATTTTATTTTATCAAAAAACCCTACCATAAGACTCTACCGTAATGTTTAATTATTGACATTAAACATCACTCGCCTTTAAGATAGTGAATTGTGATACCTCCATGTCTGCAGGCAGAGGCAGTAAACCCATAACTATATATCACTAGACTAAAATTAAATTAAATGCATACTAAATGGTGGATTAGAGAGAAAAATAACATTTTTGGCATTTTTAGCCATATAAGCCCTGGTTATTTTCTGACCCTGGTTAGTCCCAAAAGTGATCATGAACATGCAAGATGGTTAAAAAGACAGTAAGGAGTTGTAATTCAGCAGAACTGTGCCAAAGAAATTCCCTGGGAAGTACTTTATTGGAGACGGCCGGCTAAGTGTTATCACAGAGCTCACACGCCAGCGCCTCCTCTGGGCCTTCACTGACAAGATAACAGCCGTCAATTGTTCACTTAATCGATCAGGTATCAGCACTGACCTGAAGGCTGTCGGTCTGAACCCTGGCAGGAGATCTGGCAGGCAAATGTTTTTGTGTTACAAACAATACCTTACTTACTCTGAACACCTATCGTTCAAAAGTTTGGGGTCAGTATTTTTTTTAATGTTTCTGAAATAAGTCTCTTCTGCTCACCAAGGCTGCATTTATTTGATCAAAATAATACATTTTAAAATGTAATTCTTGTGATCAAAGCTGAATTTTCAGCATCATTACTCTTCAGTGCCACATGATCCTTCAGAAATCATTTTAATATGATGATTTGCTGCTCAAGAAACATTGGTAACACTTTATTTCGATAGTCCACTTTAGACACTCTACTAACTAAGCTGCAACTACATCTGCATTAGAATATTAGTAGACTGTCTGTTTAATATCTGCTAACACTTTATTGTGATGCTCCTCAACAGACATTATACTAACTTTGCAACTACATGTCAAATTATTCTACTAACCCGAACTCTCACAACTAACCCTAACCTAACAGTCTACTAATACTCTAATGAGAGTTAGTTGTTATGGCAAGTTACTTATTAGTAGTCGAATGTCTAAAGTGGACCATCGAAATAAAGTGTAACGAAACATTTCTTTTTATAATCAATGTTGGAAATATTTGCGTTGCTTAGTCTTTTTCAAGATTCTTTGATGAAACTTTCTTTATAGAAAGTGCAAAAGAACAACATTTGTTTGAAATAGATCACTTTTGATCAATTAAATAATTAATTTGAATGTATCATTGTTGAACAACTATTTATTTCTTTAAAAAAATCTTACTGACCTTTCCAAAGTTCTGCATTACATGTGTCTGTAAATTAAGCAAGCTCATTATTTATTTAAAGAATAGTAACTATAGTAATAATATTGTGTAAATTCAAAATATATAGAGCACAATATTTTACCTGTTACTTCAGATTATGTAACATTACTTGTAACTCATTACCCTCATCACAACAACACCCAATTATCTCCTCATACTTCTAACTGTACAGTCAAACCTTTTTTAGGAGGTTTGCCTGTTCCCATCTCTTTCTCTTCCTTAAGGGAACTCCATTCTAATACAGTCAGGGTGACGTGCAGCAGTGGTTTGTTTTGGAGCTGAAACTCAACGCATGCAGCCTTGCGTTCTGTAAAATCCCATTTTACACTACAGACCTCCTGCTCTAATCAATAAGCCTTCGGGGTCTGCTTTATCAATGTGTTTGGTATTCCAACGCTACGCTCTTTTCACATGACTGACTCCATGCATAATCGACTACTGGTAAAACACAGTCACTGAGTATGTGTTTGTGCATTTTTTTTATTTTTTTTTGGCACCCTTCATCCCTGTCCAAGAGCCTTGCGGATATGAATGAAAAGAAGCAATTAAATTTTACTTGGAGGCACAAAGCACCAGGGCGTGCATCACATTTGTATGCGTGTGCGCTCCCCCTTCGAATAAAAGTTGTGTGCCTGTGTTTCTGCATGTACATAAATAAATCAGCATCAAACAAGGATCTAATCTGAGAAGGCTGTCACTCCATCTATTGTTATTAATAAACGTGTTAAAATTTACATATGGCACCTTTTACATGTACATATTTAAATTAAAATGTGTTTAATGTCTAAAAGCAAAAAGCTGTCAATCCCAATGTTCATTCATGTTTGCACATACTACATTAGTGACATGCATCGATACAATACCGCCACTCTCTCTACTGGTTTACGTTCTACTGCCTTGAAAACAACATCAATGTTAAAGGTGCAGTAAGTGATATCTGAGAAACACTGTTGAAAGTGAATCGGACTGAGCAGCACAACACACTTGTAGCCAATCAGCAGTAGGGGGCGTGTCCACTCATGATGGGGGAGGAGAGAGAGTCAATCAGCAGTGGGGGGCGTGTCCACTCATGATGGGGGAGGAGAGAGAGAGAGAGCCAATCAGCAGCAGGGGGCGTGTTCACTCATTATGGGGGAGGAGAGAGAGAGAGATCCAATCAGCAGCAGGGGGCGTGTTCACTCATTATGGGGGAGGAGAAAGAGAGAGAGAGCCAATCAGCAGCAGGGGGCGTGTTCACTCATTATGGGGGAGGAGAAAGAGAGAGAGAGCCAATCAGCAGTAGGGGGTGTGTCCACTCATGATGCGGGAGGAGAGAGAGAGAGAGCCAATCAGCAGTAGGGGGCGTGTTCACTCATTATGGGGGAGGAGAGAGAGAGAGAGCCAATCAGCAGCAGGGGGCGTGTTCACTCATTATGGGGGAGGAGGAGAGAGAGAGAGCCAATCAGCAGCAGGGGGCGTGTTCACTCATTATGGGGGAGGAGAGAGAGAGAGAGAGAGCCAATCAGCAGCAGGGGGCGTGTTCACTCATTATGGGGGAGGAGGAGAGAGAGAGAGCCAATCAGCAGCAGGGGGCGTGTTCACTCATTATGGGGGAGGAGAAAGAGAGAGAGAGCCAATCAGCAGTAGGGGGTGTGTCCACTCATTATGGGGGAGGAGAGAGAGCCAATCAGCAGTAGGGGGCGTGTTCACTCATTATGGGGGAGGAGAGAGAGAGAGAGACAATCAGCATTAGGGGGCGTGTCCACTCATGATGGGGGAGGAGAGAGAGAGAGAGCCAATCAGCATTAGGGGGCGTGTTCACTCATTATGGGGGAGGAGAGAGAGAGAGAGACAATCAGCAGTAGGGGGCGTGTTCACTCATTATGGGGGAAGAGAGAGAGAGAGAGACAATCAGCATTAGGGGGCGTGTTCACTCATTATGGGGGAGGAGAGAGAGAGAGATCCAATCAGCAGTGGGGGGCGTGTCCACTCATGATGGGGGAGGAGAAAGAGAGAGAGATCCAATCAGCAGTAGGGGGCGTGTTCACTCATGATGGGGGAGGAGAAAGAGAGAGAGAGAGCCAA